TCTTCAACTCCAACTCCATGGTGATAAGCAAACAGCAGCGGGTCCTGATATGTTCTAGTTTGCTTATTCAGGTGGACCAACAGGAGTCTCTCCAGGACCTTCATGATGTGGGTTGTCAGGGCAACCGGTCTGTAGTCGTCATTGACTGATGGGCGAGTTTTCTTTGGAACTGGAACAAGGCTGGATGTCTTCCACAGGACTGGAACCTTCTCCTGGGCCAGGCTGAGGTTGAAGAGGTGCTGCAGAATCCCACAGAGCTGCTCTGCACAGGCCTTCAGTACTCTGGGGCAGACACCGTCTGGACCTGCAGCCTTGTTCCTGTTCAGTCTCTCCAGCTGCCTCTTCACCTGACTTCAAGAGACAGATAGGTGGGAGGGGGAGGTAAATGGGGCAGCAGCATCTCCTGACTTGGTTGAAGACAGATTTATAGAACCAGAAGAGTCCATGACTGCGTTAGAGGACAAAAGAGCTGGCGTGTGACAGGAAAATATTGGATCAGAGGAGGATGGGATGTCTGATTGGCTGGGGACAGGCGAGGAGGAGGATGGGTTTGTTCCTGAACTGAACCTATTGAAGAACTTGTTCAGTTCATTGGCTGTGTCCAGGCTGCCATCTGTGCAATCCTTCCTCTGCTTGAAGCCTGTGATCTTCTTCATCCCTGACCAGACATCTCTGATATTGTTCCTCTGTAGTTTGTTCTCCGGCTTCTTCCTATTGGCCTCCTTGCTGTCTCTGACCTTGATCTTCAGTTGCTTCTGTATACTCCTCAATAATTCCCTGTCTCCCTCCTTGAAGGTTCCTTTTTTCTCATTTAGCAGATTCTTCAGTTCACTGGTGATCCAGGGATTGTTATTAGCGAAGCATCTCCCTCAGACTCACCTCAACGCATGGCTCTGGAACCAATTTCCTTGAGAGGGGTTGGACTTTCTACCACTCTGGAGTTTCTCCCACTGAGAGGCGCCGAGCAGGGGTGGGCATACTAGTTGCCCCCCATCTTGGTGCCTGTACGTTGGGGTTTACCCCAGGGAAAGAGAGGGTAGCCTCCCGCCGCCTACGTGTGGGGGGACGGGTTCTGACTGTGGTCTGTGCTTACGCACCAAACTACAGTTCAGACTACCCACCCTTTTTGGAGACCGTGGAGGGGGTTCTGGAAAGCGCTCATTCCAGTGACTCCCTCGTTCTGCTGGGGGACTTTAACGCTCACGTGGGCAACGACAGTGAGACCTGGAGATGTGTGGTTGGGAGGAACGGCCCCCTGATCTGAATTTGAGTGGTATTTTGTTATTGGACTTCTGTGCCAGTCATGGATTGTCCATAATGAACACCATGTTCAGACATAAAGGTGTCGATATGTGCTCTTGGCACCAGGATACCTTAGGCCGCAGCTCAATGATCGACTTTGTTGTTGTTTCATCTGACCTGCGGCCGCATGTCTTGGACACTCGGGTGAAGAGAGGGGCGGAACTGTCAACTGACCATGACCTGGTGGTGAGTTGGCTCAGATGGTGGGGGAGGATGCCGGTCAGACCAGGCAGGCCCAAACGTCCCAAACGGGGACATTGAGTCTGAATGGACCCTGTTCCGTGCCTCCATTGTTGAGGTGGCCGACCGGAGCTGTGGTCACAGGATCGTCGGTGCCTGTCGTGGTGGCAACCCGCTGGTGGACACTGGCGGTTAGGGATGCTGTCAAGCTGAAGAAAGAGTCCTATCAGGTCTTTTTGGCCTGTGGGACTCCAGAGGCAGCTGACGGGTACCGGCAGTCCAAGCGGAACGCAGCTCCACTGATTTCCCTCTTTCCTATTCACTCTCTCTCTTTCTTAACATTTTTTCTTTTAAATCCCAATTGCCTACTTTTGCTCATTTTAAATATATTTTTAAACATTTTCTAAATGCTTTTTTTTATATTTTTACATTTTTTGTTTTGTTTTTGTGAAGTGCCTCGTGATTTTTATCTTGAGAGGCACTATAGAAATGATATTTTCTTCTTCTTCTTCTCCTCGGGTGGTCGCCAAGGCAAAAACCCGGGCATGGAAGGAGTTTGGTGAGACCATAGAGCAAGACTTCCGTACGGCTTCGAAGAGATTCTGGTCCACCATCCGGCGCCTCAGGGGGGGAAAGCAGTGGGCTACCAACACTATCTATAGTGGGGACGGTGTGCTGCTGACCTCTACTCAGGACGTTGTAGATCGGTGGGCAGAATACTTCGAAGACCTCCTCAATCCCACCGACACGTCTTCTAGTGAGGAAGCAGAGTCTGGGGTCTTTGGGTTGACCTCTCAAATCTCTGTGCTGAGGTCACTGAGGTGGTTAAAAAGCTCCTCTGTTGCAAGGCTCCAGGGGTGGATGAGATCCGCTCTGAGTTCCTTAAGGCTCTGAATGTTGTGAGGGCTGTGCTGGCTGACGCGGCTCTGCAACATCTCGTGGACATCAGGGGCATTCCCTCTGGACTGGCAGACCGGGGTTGTGGTCCCCTTATTTAAAAAGGGGGACCGCAGTGTGTGTTCCAACTACAGGGGGATCACACTCCTGAGCCTTCCTGGTAAGGTCTATTCAGGGGTTCTGGAGAGGAGGGTCTGTCGGATTGTTGAACCTCAGATTCAGGAGGAGCAATGTGGTTTTCGTCCTGGCCGTGGAACACTGGACCAGCTCTATACACTTAGGGAGATCCTGGAGGGTGCGTTCAATTTGCCCAACCAATCTGCATGTCTTTTTTGGATTTGGAGATGGCGTTTGACCGTGTCCCTTGGGGGGCCCTGAGGGGGGTACTCCGGGAGCATGGGGTACCAGGCCCTCTGATACGGGCCGTTAGGTCCCTGTATGACCGGTGTCAGAGCTTGGTCCGCATTGCCGGCAGTAAGTCGGGCTCATTCCCAGTGAGAGTTGGACTCCGCCAAGGCTGCCCTTTGTCACGATTCTGTTCATAACCTTTAAAGACAGGATTTCTAGGCGCAGCCAATGTGTGCATGGCATCCGTTTTGGTGGCCTGAGGATCAGGTCTCTGCATTTTGCAGATGATGTTGTCCTGTTTGCTTCATCAGAACATGATCTTCATCTTTCGCTGGAGCGGTTCGCAGCCGAGTGTGAAGCAGCTGGGATGAGAATCAGCTCCTCTTAATCTGAGACCATGGTCTTGAAACGGAAAAGGGTAGAATGCCTTCTCCGGGTCAGGGATGAGGTCCTGCCCCAAGTGGAGGAGTTTAAGTATCTCGGGGTCTTGTTCACGAGTGAGGGAAAACTGGAGTGTGATTTCGATAGGTGGATTGGTGCTGCATCTGCAGTGATGCGGGCATTGTACCGTTCTGTCGTGGTGAAAAGAGAGCTGAGTCAGAAGGCGAAGGTCTCGATTTACCGGTCGATCTACGTTTCTACCCTCACCTATGGTCATGAGCTTTGGGTAATGACAGAAAGAACGAGATCGCGGATACAAGTGGCCGAAATGAGTTTTCTCCGAAGAGTGGCTGTGCTCTCCCTTAGAGATAAGGTGAGAAGCTCGGTCATTCGGGAGGGGCTTGGAGTAGACCCGCTGCTCCTCCACATCGAGAGGAGCCAGTTGAGGTGGCTCGGGCATCTGATCAGGATGCCTCCCTGGTGAGGTTTTCCGGGCACGTCCAACCGGGAGGAGACCTAAAGGAAGACCCAGGACACTTTGGAGGGACTATGTCTCTCACCTGGCCAGGGAACGTCTTTGGATCCCCTTGGAGGAGGGAAGTCTGGGCCTCTCGCCTTAGGCTACTGCCCCCGAGACCCGACTCCGGATAAGTGGATGAAAATGGATGGATGGATGGATGGATGGATGGGGCTGGGGCAGATCTGAGGTCCTGGGGGAGCTGATTCCAAATGTGAGCAGCATAGTAACTAAAAGCATTTCCACCATGTTTTGTTCTGACATGAGGTTCTACCAGCTGATTGTTTCCAAGGGATCTCAGAGCCCTATTGGGTGTATATACAGGAATGAGATCAGATTTTGGTCCCATGCCACTGACTGATTTTTAAACGATTATGGAACAAACTAAAAAACAGATGCAAGAGAATTACAAAGGTCGGACCATGGAGAATTCTGGGATTATATTCTGTAGGAGGGGATTAATAATCAGTGTAAAGTGTAACAAAAAATAACAATGGCAAAAAAGTCCAAAACAGACCCACACAGCAGATTGCCAAAACAGGAGTAATCCTACAAACCATGACACATTTGTTGTCCTTCACAACGGCGCTCGATGGACTGTTATGTTGACACCGTTTCTCAGAATCTTTTTCATTTCTAGATTTTTTAAAAATAAATAAAGTTTTTCTTTATTTCATAAAGTTTTTCTTGATTTCAATTTCAACAATTTTATGAAAGTGCTGCTCACAGGAAATTACAGATTTGCATAAAATCTCCAAATACATCAAAGCTGCTTTTATTTGTTCTTGTGTCTTTTCAGTAAATATTTTAATAGCAAGTTTGAATTTCTGTTGCATTTTAGAAATCTTCCTCAATCTTTTGCATTGTAGAATATTTGTCAACGAGTTGCTTTGGTGAATCATTATGTTGAGTGTATAAAGGAATGGGTCTGTTTGGCTGAAATCCAACCGTCCCTAGGCCAGCACTGTGTCAGCCTCTAACCAGCTCCACAGTGACCATCATCATGAAGCTGCTGGGTTAAGGAGAGCACAGTCCTTGGTCTGGAGAAACCTTAATCCTTGAACTAGGGGGCAGAAATATTGAAGTTCAAAGCTTAGATCTATCGTTCAGCTTCAGATGTCTTGGCCAAAACAAATTTTCACTGCAGGTTAAAGCTGCTGTTGATGTTTCATTTAAAAAAGTAAACAGAAGAACTGAAGAGTAAAGGGAACTGTCACCAGCATGTTTCATCTTGTGTCAGTTTTCAATGGTCTAGAAACCCCCCCAACTCTGATTCAACTGTGACTAGAATAAAACCCAGATTAAGAGCTGACACAGTACAACATCAGACTGATTTATGAGGGAAGTTTCTGCTGGCGCACCACTCATCCACGCGTCCCGGGACACCCTCGTGTGGGAGGGAAGAGGTGGAGAACAGAGGGAGGCAGTGATGATGAGAAGGAGTCGTTGAGAAGGACAGAGAGATAGAGAGAGAGACGGAGTGGACACATCAAAATAAATCGTCTTCAACGGTCAAGGAAGTGGAAATACCGAACATCTTTTTTTGTCTCTCCACGCATGGCTGCCTAGTTTCAACCACGCAGAACTTCTTTAGCCGTGGGCTTTGCGTGCGTGGGCAGACGGGGTCCTCGCTCTGAAGGATGGACAGTTTAACAAGGACCAGGTTGCGCAGAAGAACACATTTATTTATTTTCATCTTAATTCATCTAACAACGGCTCAAAATGGTAAAGTATCAAGTTAAACCAGTCCAACAAGAAGGTTGGTCAGAGACCGACCCAGTCTCCTCTGTCCGTTAAAAGGATGCACTTGGGCTTAGTTTCCATTGAGTTGTTGCAGACTTGTTGCTGTATTAGCCTCTGGCATGGCGCACAAAGCACCAACTTCTCGTTATGTCTCCAACCGCACTCTAAACCTGGCATCTGAAGCGCGATTTCTGTAATTAGATGCGGTATAAAGGTTACAGGGAAGCTGCAACTTGTCCGACAGGTGCTGCAGGGTGGCATGTGAATCGCGACTTTTAAATAAGAAAGACTCCAGAAATCTTTAAGATTTACAAGAATTGTGCAAAGGATCAAGTTCAAGATTCTCTTAATTAATTTCACTAGTTTGTATTATTTCTTCTATTCCTCCGGCTTAAACAGCTTTTTATTGTGACATTTTAAGACTCGGGTTTGAACGAGCCTCTGTGCGTCAGCGCAGGCTCCTGCGTCTCGGTGCTGAGAGAGCCTGTGATGTAATGTTCGAGTTTGCCTGTGACCGGCGTCGGTTTACCGTGAAGAGGTTTAATGTTGGCTCGAGAACGAGCTGAATGGCTGAACTCTGAAAAGAGCGGAGTAGATTAAAATTCCTGTCATGGATCTGTTTAATGTGCCCTCTGTAGAGGTCTCTGTACTAGCACTCCCCCCCACCAAAGTCATATATATATATATATATATATATATATATATATATATATATATATATATATATATATATATATATATATATATATATATATATATATATATATATATATATATTCTGTTAAAGTGTCACATTGCTTCCAAGGCTGTTCTCAATGTTCTGTGTCTAGTTTTGGTCCATCTGACTCACTGCAGTCTGTCACCTGTCCTCATGCCCAATGGCCATCCATGTACAGTTATCTTTCACAGGTGCAGGCCCTCTCAGGTGCTTCAGTAAAGAGAGTCTCTGGTGGAGTGACATGCGTTAACAGCTGAAAAAGGGAACCCAGTGGCAGGCCGGGAAGTTTCATTTCCACTCATACTTTCCACATGCAGCCAGCTCATAGCCATGAGGATATGCTGATACTCACTGACTTAAATGAGACAATAGCAAGAAGTGAGCCTAGTCACCTAAGTGGCGCAGCAGCTTCCATGCTGCTAATGAGAAGCTGTGAAGAGAGAAGCTCCTCAGATGATTTCAAAGCTCCTGTCTCTCGTGATGGTGCAGCTATTTCAGTCTCCCTTCTTTGCATTATTTGTGTCAGACTCTGAATGTCCAGCATGAATGTGTGTAGAACAGTGAAAGAATGCTTTCCCACATGTGTTGTGTGAGTGTTTGCTCAAGACAGATGAGAGAGCACTTTGTAGTCATGTTTACAGACAGGAAGTGAGACATTCTTGCACTAGTGCACAGTTTATTCAGAACCCTTTTGTTCTTGTGTCTCAACACACTTACGTTCAGTTTTCTTTTGTTCCCTTTTCTGGTTTGTTGAAATTCTTGGATTTGAAAAGTTTGTTTTTCCTTACCTTATTTATTTGTTTACCCCATTTTCCTCTTCCTACCCCGTGTCATTCACAACTAATGGGAACAAACTGTACATTCAGGCCCTTCGCTCTGTCCTGTTTGATCTAGTCTCATTACCAATTCTTAAACCGAGCCCCAAAGGAACTGAGGAAACCTGTTTTCTTTGATTCATTAACAAACTAGTAGCTACTGAAAACAAATGAAATGGACAGCTCATTTCGAAAGCAGCTTAGAAGAGAAAACACATCACATCTACAGCATCCCCTTGTGTTTTGTGAGTTTGTGTTGTTGCGGTGAAACATAAAACATCAAAAGTGTCAGATGTGCTGAGCCCAGTTGCTGATGCGGCAAGTGTCACATCAAACTGCTTCTTAGACGGGTTTGATGAGCCAATCAGTTTGGATTTCACCCAAGTCTTTAATGTGTATAAATGATGCTTAAACACTTTGTGGTGCCGGACTGAAATCTATAGTATTCCACACACATCTGGCTCCCAGAAATGTCCTTCCCCTTAGGCCTCAGTGTTTCTGATCACTGGAGGCTCCTAGCAGCTTTCATTGGGACTAGCTGGAGATGCTTCCTGTGGAATGAAGAGACAGATTGTCCTTTTATAACTCATAAACTGCCACTTATTCCAGTTTTATGAGCTTAGTGCACCATATGCACGATGCAGTTAAGGTGACAGTTGTGGTAGTTCCTTTAAAATCCATGCAAACTATTCCATAAAGATTTAAAGCATTCCTGCATTTGCTGATTGTCTGTCAACGTTCAGCTCTTGGGTGAAATTGAAGTGTGTGTGCAGCATGCTCTTTGCTTAATCATCACTCAAACTAAAGAATCACTACATGTTTTGTCTAAATGAAAACTTGGGGTTACAACCTGAAGGTGCTTGAACGTGCACATGTTTGCATGGTTTTACTTAGACAATCTTCTTTAAAAAAAAAAAGCATGAAGCGATGTCCGATCACTGGCTTTTCCTGAATTTCCCAAATATAAGACCATTCCTTTCATATCCTCAAATGAATTTCTGAGAACTTAGATTATTCTGTTTAAGTGTAGGAGTACAAAAGACATGTCGATAAATCAGAGGATCCATTGTCAAAGCCAGTGCTCATAGGTATTAAAGAGAGAGAGAAAAAGAATGAGCCTGTATTTGTGTAGAGCGTCAGTTGGGTGCAGGGCCTTGAGGGGCAGGTGTTTTCTCTGTGAGCCAAGAAGCTTTTGGCCCGTCAGCTCGTCGTGCTGTGAACAAGCAAGAGCAGAACAAACTGTGGAGGTTGAAGAATGTGGTGCTGATGTGAAATGGAAGGAAATGTGCAACGTGATCCCACCCAAATCTTCTGGCTTCAGCACCAAAAGTGCAACTGGTGGCTCTAGCAACAGAACAAGTCACTGACCCACATTCAGCAAGGCACTTTGAAAATGAAAAAGTCAGACTAAATGACATACATTTGACTTTAGTTTATAAATATTTGCAGAAATTGTTGATATACTATTGCTTCTGTGAAAATTGAGCACATCTATTGTTTCTAAACCAGAAAACAAAACAGTGATTCAGAGAGAGAGAGAGAGAGAGAGAGAGAGAGAGAGAGAGAGAGAGAGAGAGAGAGAGAGAGAGAGAGAGAGAGAGAGAGAGAGAGAGAGAGAGAGAGAGAGAGAGAGAGAGAGAGAGAGAGAGAGAGAGATGTCCAAAGGTCAAAGAGGTTGTTGACTTCCCCCGTTGATGTGATCGAGCAACAACGAGTCTCATTACTGGCTCATTCTGGCGGGACTATGCATTTACCGATCTCATTTCTGTTTAATTCTTCATTTGTGCAGCCTGAATTTGTTTTGATCTCATATTCCGCTTTGCACACAGTTGTGACCCAAGCAAAGAGTCACATTTAATCAGATAATCTATTCTTAGCTGAGAGGAAACGTGTCTGGATTCATTTAGCCACTAACATGACGTCTTTCATCTTTTTATTATCATCATTAATCAAAATCTTTTAGAGCTTGGTACCCTTGGATACATTTTCAAGGAATTCTCATGCAGCCGTAGTATTTCAGTAGACAGATCTTTGTTTCTTCCTGATGTGAAAAGGGATTTCATATTTATATTTATGTGTTTTGTTTGCATCTCCAAACAGTCATCTGAAGTTCAGCTGCCAGTTATTTTCCTCCACTCTTCTCAGGGTGTGGTCTGAGATACTATGGGAATATCTAAGTGCAGATTTCTTTTGGCTTCATCTCTTAAAATTCCCCCTCGTTCCCTGATGCAATAGCTTTTGACAGTGTGTGTGTGTGTGTGTGTGTGTGTGTGTGTGTGGGGGGGGGTGTTCAGGGCTCAGTGTGTAGGTGGTGTGAGTCATCAAGAATGTCTTCAGAGACATTCGCTTCACAAACACAGTGACCACATTATGTCCGTGTACGACTGCATGGTGCTGGGTTGTGTGGCCACAGGGCACAGAGAGGAATGGAAAAGAGCCGCAGCAGATGCAAACATGAGAACTGATTACTGCCATTTCTCAGCTTTTCACTGTCTGGAACAAATGACTTGACAGTTGTTGGCTTTCTTGTACATAAAAAGTAAAAAAAACAACAGCCAAGAAAACATTTAAAATGCTGCATACTGCATGTCCAAAAACATCACGAGCTATGGGTCTTTAGATTGTTGATGATACTGTAAGCATCATGAGCAGTCTGTGTGGATTCTGGTTTGTAAGTGCCATTAAATAATGTGTGTCCTGTCTGTCTGACTTCCTGTTAAAATGATATAACCTGAAAGGTGAGGGAAGGACTTTAATTCAAAACTTAATGAGATGCAAGAAAAGCTTGTTCAGACAGTCAGAGCTGCAGGAAAGGTAAAGAGGCTGAGAGAATTGGCAAAAGTCTAAATGACTTGATGGATCTTAAGCAGGGAGAGATAACATTCTTCCACTGATAGCTGCGTTTATCCAGCCCACTAATGGCAGCCTTCCATGACTTTTCTTCTTTAGGCTCTTTTTTGGGAATTGGCTCTTCTTATAGTCTCAGTACCTATTAGCTCTACTTCTTTTTGCATCTATTTAGTGTTTTCTTGTCCTGTGAGTAAGCTTACTTTGGCACCTGTCAGTTTGTTTAGTTAACTTTGGCTGTAGGATGATCTTTTTCTGCGTGTTTGTAGATAACTGTGAAAGTAATCTCTTTGTAGAATGAATTTCTGCTGCTTGTCTCAGATTTCTCCCTGTGGTGTTGGTGTGCGTTCATGCTTTTGTCATCTGAATGTCAGAGGTCACTGGTTTCCAGTCAGTCAGGAGCAGAAGCATGTTGAAAACTGGACATAAAACTTGTAAACACAAGGGCAGAAATCCCTTCCTGTGAGTCGAGCATTGGATTGGCCAAAATGAAGAAAGGCTTTACGGCTTTTGATAGGTGCTACGGTGTGTTTAGACAGAAACTCTAAGATCCTGTATAATTAAACCCACATTGCTTTGGTCTAAAAACCTGTGCATCAGCA